AAATGTTCAGCAATCGCGAATTAGGGGACTATGCTGCTTTGGATGTTTACCTCATTCACAGTTGAAACCTTTCACAAAACACGGACAAAATCAACTCAAACAACCGTCTCACAATCAACATAACTAACGCCAACATTCAAATAAACCTGTAGCGTGTACACACATTTTATCATGCATGTCTGCTTACAATGTCTAAAAATCAAGCCTTTCTTATGTCACTCACCAACAACGCGTTTCTATTCAAAACATACCGCCCTGACCCTGACAACCTCCTCCTTACCCTCATTTTGACCTTTTTTATGCACTAGTGCGTGCCTGACACAAACCACATAGAAGTGGATAGGATCTTACAGGTGATAAAGACAAATTATGTATTCGAAGAATACTGCCATAACGCTGATCACTTGCAAGCTTCGGTTTCACCTGTCGTGGTTCAATACATGAGTCTAGTTCTCACTGTTATTTGCTATACCGTAAATGACACAAATACATAATTTCAGTCATTTCTTTTAGCTCTCGACTTTTTCTCGGTTTGGTCAGCTACTCAGTACGGTACATTGCAAATGCCACCAACATTTTGTCTCCTCTTATCGACTTGCTTCAAATGAATTCCATGAAGAGTACGACTTATTTAGGAGTCTGCAACTGCTTTTTAAGCCACTAGGCATGCACAAGCAGAAGTCGCGTTGGACTGTGAGATGAAAGCAAAGATTTCTCCACGAACTGATGCTTCTTCGACTAATTTTGCACTAATCCCACTGCAATAGCTACATAGCCACTCTCAACCACTAATTTTTTTGTTTTCAAAGATTAAACAAATTCAGACCCGTTACAGCACATTTCTGGAGAGTTTCAGGCTGCTAATCGTGCTATGAAACCGTTTCATACCTCCTGACGAGACGCCAGTTCCCCAAGTGTACAGATCAAAAGCCCTCGACTCATGAATTCCATGACGAATCTCATCGGAATTTTTCCTCAAGCCAATCACGGCAATACGTCAATTTTGTGCTTCACTTTTTACAACCACTATTCGTCACGTTGATGTAACTCTTAATGACGGCGTGTCCAGTGCGCTTTCTTCAGCACGCATTCATCACATTTTACTTCCCGGTTTTGATTTTGGAATGCAGCTGCGCGCCGCAGACCAATGATGCACAATTTTGCCACATTTGTCAAAATTGCATGGCACCACCTTACAACCATCCTTTTCGTGGTTCTTAATACCCTGATATAAGGAAGAAGAGAGGTGACGGCGGCGGACACAAACGTCTATTAGCGTCAGGCGAGTCAATTGTGGTTTTGTGTGTGGACGAGTGAGTGGTTGCTGGGGTATTGGTAACAGTAACCAATGGAAAATAGGGATGGGTCATTGACCCAGTCAGGTCAGTAAACAGGTTCCATTTACACGTCTGTTCAACGACATTGGTCACCTTGGGCTTTTATTTGTCGGTGTGATCGTTTCACCATGCCCTTTGATTAAGGTTGGTTGCGGTTGTTTAAATGTGGTTCGTTCCCCAGGAGCCCCGTGACATTATGCAACACGTTTAGTTCAATCTTCGTTCTCCCGTCTGTGCAAGTGGTTGAAGACACTTTAAAAAATGCAATCAACCTGTAAACGAACATTTTGACAATGGTTTTGGCAGAAGGTACTGCATTGGAAAAGCAACATGCCATTAGGTAAAGCGAATAGCGCAAGTTCACATGTAACGAAAACATGTCGAGTGAGGGACAGGTCTGAAAACTTCGACATGTGCGTGATTGAACCTTGCATCCAGGTCGTTAAATTGTACAAACGAGTGTCTTGATGTGCTGGTCAACTAAAGACATAAGAAAACACACGCAACTATTTAAAAGAGGGTTCCTTGTTGGCCGTTGATCAGGATGAGGGAAATCATGAAGGGGGCAACGATTTCCTTACGCAGCCATAGTGAGTCCAAGAATGCAAGGGGATGGACACAGATTTGGAACCATGTGGGTTAACAAGCAGTGTGCGGTGTAGAGCAAACATAATCAGTGCTTATGCGGGAAGTCTAGTGACTGTAGGGGACCCACACGGTTTACAACAGGTGTCCTCGGAGGGACAGCAGCTATTAACATAGCCAAATCTTCGCAAAATGAAATTAACGAGGCACATAAATCAGCAACAAGCTGCAAACGAAAGCGTATATGCACGTGTTTCCACTGTTCAGCATGCTGCTATAATTTCATGGTTCAGCACAATGTCCTGCAAACACTTCATCGGCGTCCACGCGCCCACATCTACACATTTCCATTTTTAATGCGGCAACCCAGGCTCAAGCAGTGCGGCTTAAACTCACACAAAAAGTACTACTACCGCCTACTTGCAGCTAATGCGCATCAACTACGTGATGTACATGAAGGCGAAACAGCGGCAAGCATAAACTTCGATCACACCTCAAATATTCATTTACACTAAACCTACATTCTTCGAGAGATAAGGCACTAATTAAGAAATACTGACAAAGGCGTAATGAATGGGCCCTGATTAAAACGCGTTTTTGATAAACAGATGGCACACGAAATGTAAAACTAATTTTATTTAATAGTTAAACAAACCAATTCACGTAAGCAACTTCCAACACCTCCAATTCAACATAATTTGGTTAATGGACGTACTTACCTACAACCATTTTATTTCAGCGAATGCCGTGTAGAAGATATTTGGATCACACTTGGCGCAAAGAAGACTCATCGACACTGTTAGTCCAAGCAAGTTTTTGTTTAAGCAGAAAAAGTTGTATTCCTAAACCGGGTTGTCAAATTCATGCCTCGGTCAACTTAGTCGGTCGTGTGAAGGAATCACTTACGACAATTCGATAACTTCGGTTGAAACGTTTTCAACAGCACACGATTATTTGGAGATTCGTTAAGCAACCTTAACATTGCGTAAATGGGTCTTAATTCGCAAACACCAAGCACGCGCGCTGTAAATGAGTCAATGAGAGTTAACTGAAGTGCTTTTTTTAACTACGAGCTTCCTGCAAAAGTTTGACTCATGGTTTGCAGAAGAGAGAGTTGTGAAATAAAAAGATTTGAAAGAAATCGACTATCCTGGCTTGGACGCCTGCAACAATCTGGCGACAGACATGAAAGCCATACAGACCATGTCGTTCATTGTTGCTGGGCGCATCAGTAGACCGATTGACTACAATGTTCTCACCGAAATGCTGATTCTTTCGCCTCTCGTCGATACGTTTGTCAATGTGAAACTGCCGCAAAGCAGATTGTTGACTGCGTATATCGCGCTCAAGGGCTTCACGGTACCGCAACTCCTCACCTAACTGAAAACGGAAGAAAACCATCTTGGAGAGGCGAGAACTCAACATGACGCTGGAGTAAGATCGGTTAACCCCTACACCAATCTGGTGGTTTAAATGAACACAGTCAATGAATACACAACTTTAATCGGGCTAAAATCAATTGGACAAAATCAACTAGTCAAGTTGACAGCAAATAAATTCGACGCCAATTACTACCACAAACATTTTTGCGCAATGGTTTAAAATCACAATTATGTAAGTGAAAGTTTCAAAATTACTCTTTTTGTTTGAATCCACGAACGATTTATGAATAGGACGCATAGATTGAAGATGACCACAGTAGCGCCTCCCAAACCAGAATTCAGGTGGAAGTTTACATTATCAAAATTTCTGCACGTAAAGAATGGACGTAAACAATATAGTTTGTTCGCTTGTATTTTCCGAGCCCACAACTACTACCATTGTGCTATACGCGGAGCATTGGAGAAGACGGCGTGAATAGCAACAACTTGAAATTAGGTCGGCCTTGTTGGAATCAATTGACTACTAGATGGCCTTGCTCATCAAGAAAACGGCCAATAATTTGAGTGGAACTTGCTAAAGCGTTTGCAGATCACACAAATCTTTGGAGGGGCATTCATAATTCATTTCGGACGAAGGCACCAAACAGGTATGCACATTTAATCATTGAGATTTTATTGGATTGAGTGGCCAGCAGGTGGGCTGAGCCAGTGAATATGGAGTTGTACGATGGCCAACTAGATAGTAATGGATTCGTCAATACTGTTTTCCAAACAACAATTACCGTCTTCCACCGTGAGCATGGATGCTTTAAAAAATGTTTATTCCTAAATCGACTTGCGTAAATGGTAAATTTTCCCCGTTCGTATTTAAATAACCACTACATTGCAGACTTAGGTAATCTTATTGCTAAAATTTCTGATGTGAAGACCAAATTTCCAAAAACTTTAATGACTGACCAAGTCTTTGCACTAGTATACAGAAATGTCAAGAATGTGCACTATCTCAGTGCCGATCGTTGCTTTATCTAGCTATGCTCCCAGGTTACGTTCTATAAACCGCTGTGATTTTACCTCAACGTAAATCACAATGCCCTGTAGACTTCTAGGTAGCTAAGAAAGCTTACCACTACATGATCTAAATGTATTTAATTTTTCCATTCCCTAGACTTGCTGGGTTTTCAACACGTTCGATTCGCACTCTCGTCACAACCTGCCACGAAGTCAACTCACTCAATTCACTACTGCACCTTCCATTCTCTTTGTGAAAAGTAGTGTCTACTTCTGTCACTGAATTCTGAGCTGTGGCGTGAATTGCGACTTTATACAAATGTTAGACCTCCATCTACGAACTATCTAGGCTACAGAAAATCTAACGGCATTAATAATTACAAAATAAAGTCCAGTAATAGGTTTGACTCTAAAGCAGGCTACAAGTTCAGGAAGTTACCTTTGATAAACCCGCACCCTCCATTTCACATTTTTATCAAATTAGGGATTGCATTTTCGGGCACCAAGTAGTGTTTGAGGCAGGTAGTCGGATTTCTAAACTTGTGTGTTGTGGCCTAAGCTACAATGGGAATTCGTGTCTATGAAGGGTCTAGGACAGGATGTTTGATTGCAAAGCAATACGAGGCTGTCATTCATAATATCAAAATTAGAAACATTACATCTCGTACTACTTCACCCAGTTGGATTTTCAGACACAAAATCGACATACCTCAGCCTCGGCATGCTCAAGACGTAAACGAAGCCTTTTGAATTCGACATTGCTCATTTGACGGTTTTTTGTCGCGCCATTTTTTTCAAGAAGCGACATAATCTATATTTATCATGAAATAATAGACGCAATCGGAAAGAAGTTTTTTATCGCGATCATTTAGTTGTTGCTGTTGCAGATCTTCATTGGCTGTTTCCAGCTTCCGACAGCGTGCAGACAAGGTCTGCGTCACAGTCAGTCGCCGTTCAAGACTAGGAGGAAATAAGATAACTGCTAGAAAGAACAATGGGAATGTTTGCTAGAGGAAATGTTGTGCTCGGATAACTTATCTTTAACGAGGAGAAACAGTAAATGGGGCAGTTTACTTAGCACAGTGGAAAAAAGTGTACAATCTGATGTACGTACTTGAAATAGGAGCAAGAAGGTGTGATGAAAATTGATTTCTTTTTCCAAATTATGCTCAAGTTTGAATTAAAAGTAACCTAGTGCCGCGGAAAACGGCCGTCTGGACAACACCAAATTTATCACCAAATTAGGAGACATTAGACCAACGAAGCACTGACCTGGGCGCTTCAAGTAAGTGTCCACTCACACATTAAATACTACGTAACAACTTTTTAGACTTACATTTCAATTCCTTCAGATTGTTTGGCCAAATCGGCCTTGGTCTCAACCAACTCATCTTGTTAGTCTCTTGAGTCTGCTGCTGCTGCACGACCAAGGCGAGTAACCTCGGCTCCAGCTGTTTGGGCCCTTTCCGAACACTCCGATAGCTGGAGACGCAGCTCTTTCACCACAGCCTCTGCGTCCTCGCGTTCAGCCACAACTAGCGCGAAGCCCAACTCAGCGGCTCTGATCCGTTGCTTTGGCTCATTAAATCGATGCTAAAGAGAGCGATATGCGTAAAGTGGCTCAACTTCAGTTTGAACTTGACTAAGAACCGACATAATTTAAAATAACATTGCTTGTATTAAGTCAAACGATCAGTGAATATGATTGCAAAATTCTCCTGCATTATAAAACATGGTGTTATAAAAACCATGAAACCCAAATACACACAGTTAATTAATAAATCAGTGAATCAGGAAATATCAATATGTGCACAAAGCATATCATGTTCGTCGAAAGGTCAAGATTTAAATTAACTATTTTTACGTTAAAGTAAAAATTATTCACTAATTAACAATGTACAATGAGGAACATGAAATAGCGTTCAAGAATGAAGTAACCAAAAGAAAGTATTGACTGAGGAAGGACCATACGGGCACACATTACATCATGGGCAAGCAGAAGTTACACATTGCTATTACTAATTGCCATTTCACGATAGAAACAGAATTACAGTATGTTATAATGTCAGAACAATTTCTTCCCTTAATGGGCATGAAAGTGTGAGATAGAAATGGATGAAACAATTTTGGGCCACAAATACGACATATAAAGAACAAACGTTATACCGAAACATTTGCATTATCATATGCTCAACTGAATCAAATGAAACTTATTCAGAACTCTTGATGTCTAACCACCTTGTTTCAAGGTACGAAACGGTGATCAAATCCAAAACGACTTCCTTGAAATTGCCGTCTGAGGTGTTTTTTAACGGGTTTGTGATTCAGTTAAAGCCACGAATTTGTACCCTAAGTAATTTTATACAGATATGCTACATGTTCTTTCATTTCAAACCGTTATTAAATAATTTTTTGCTTTTATTGCTATTGCGAGCATGCAACTTGGCTATATGTTAATTTTTGAGATTATAATTCATTTAAATATTTAATAGCCATCCCATTTTGAAAACTGTTAGCGCGTTAAACCTCTCCTGCTTATTCCGCTTTGATATTTTGAGCATATTGTGACTTTGGTGTAGAAATATTTACTGCAAATTGAAACTACGAGTTAAAATCCTCAACGAATTTTTTTTCTGAAGTATAAGTTTAGGTTATTAAAGACCCTTAAATTAAATAAGGTTAAGGATGCTTTGACTTAGCCCTTTTTATGCAATACATTAATTTCACGATTATGAAACTTTATGGAAATCCACTAAATAATGTGGACAAAAAGGCATGGCCTTGTCAGATTTTACGTTATTGCTTGCAAATTGAGTTAGTTATTGCATTCAAACAGAATAAAAACCGATCTGAATGTTCTAAGTAAATGTAGAAAGTCCGCCTATATTATGTTTCAGATGATTCAAAGCCTCTTCGTGATAGTACTGTTATTAAACGGGTCGAAAAATGCATAAGATACTCTCTATTGCAATCCCGAGGATAGAACCTTGCAGATAGAGGCAATTTTGGTCGGGACGTCGTAACTACCAAGTAAATAATCAAGACAACTGGTGAGAACAAGTACATTAAGGCATGATCCTAGGTACCTCAACGATCAGAGAGTACATTATTTATCAACTCAACTACAAGGTATGCGATGTTTGTGTCGTGTAGTGTCCAATAATATTTTTTTCCAAGGGAGTTCGTAGCTTTTTTGCCCTAGGTACGTTGACTACTAGCAAAAATAGTTAAAGTACCAAAGACGTGTTGTCAGATAGTTTCTCAAGGAAAACGTTTCTCTAAATAAACGAAAAAACACTAGCAATATTAACGATGTAGTTTTCAATTCAGTTACAGAATTAGTACGATGTTATTTTGGATGTTTTTGCAATTAATATATCAGTGAGTCAGGAAAGATCGATGTGTCTACACGAACATATTATTTTCGTCGAAAGATCAAGGTTTAAATTAACCATTTTTACGTTGAAGGAAAAAACTGCGGAGCAATTAAAAATGTGCAATGAGGTTTATGAAGTAACTTTCAGGCATGAAGTAACCAAAAGAAAACATTGACTGAGAAAGAACCATGCGGGTACACATTACATCATGGCCTAGCAAAAATGACGCATTGCTAATCCTAATTGCAATTCCACAATAGAAACAGAATACCACTATGTTAGAATGTCAGAACAATTTCTTTGGTTAATTGGTATGAAAATGTGAGAAAGAAACGGATGAAACAATTATGGGCCACTAATACGACGTATAAAGAACAAACTTGATACCAAAACATTTGCATTATTAAAGGCTCAACTAAATCAAGACAAACTTGGTGAGAACTTTCGGTGACTAATCATCTGTATTCAAAGCAAAAAATGGCGATCAAAACAGAAAAGACTTTCTTAAGATTTGCGCCTTATGTGTTTTTAACAGGGCTTGTGATTCAGTTAAAGCCACGAATTTGCACCCTAAGTAATTATATACAGATATCCTGCATGTTCTTTTAGTTGAAACCGTTAATTATATAATTGATTTCTTTTATTGGTGTTGCGGGTATGCAACTTTGTTATAATTGAATTTTTGTAGCTTACAATCCACTTAAATATTTAAAAGCCATCCAATTTTGGAAACTGCTCGCGCATTAAATACCTCATGTTTTTTCTGCATTGATTCATAATTTTGTTTTCCAATTTCTGACAAAAATTTTTGATAGTCAATAACAATTTTTGAATTTGCCTTAGCTGTTATTAAACTCCTCGCCAACATGGAAAGTTAATCTAAAGTATCATTGAAAATCAGTAGAGTTGGGAGAGTTATTATCTTTGGTATTTTTGTTTTTTAACTTAATTGTCACAGAACAGACTCTAGGCACCTCTGTTAAACGTCATAACGAGATAACCAATATCTTGATGTTACATACTTACCAAATTATCAACCTACACATTTTAGGGCTAGGTAATTTTATATACATGCCACCTGTTTAAGGATCATAAGATGTTATGGTAATAGGTTTATCGTGCATATATTATACGAGTATTTGTAATGAGTGCATAGGAATAATGATCCCACTAAAATTCACCATTAAATAATCATTAACATTACAAGATTTAATCTACTACAAACACACTGTCTGGTTATGAACTTAAGTCGCTTTTTTTAAACAAATTAACGATTAAAGCAGGATAGGCACTTTTAAAGGGTGTTTAGATATTGGATGTCACAAGGAAATTATAACAACGCGTGTAATAATTTTTTATTCTTGCAAGAATATTTTTTATCATAAGCTCACATTGACTAAAACCTAAGTACTAATCGAGAACCACAGTAATTCCCAAACAGTTTTAAATAATTTTAGAATGCACCACTAATGCCAAAAAGGGATAATGGAAATCACACATATCTGTGTCTCCTCGAAGAAATTAGTCATAACTATTCAAGATTGTGCGCAAAATATTTTATGTCAAACACTGTATTCCATGTTGCTTTTTCCGTGTGTACTCCGGCGACAGCTCGCAAAGATGCTCGTGCTAATGAATGGGTGACTTCGACTGGAATCCTCTACCTTATGCACTCAATACCATTATACTTATATTAGCTGTTACCAACTAACGTACAAGTGTACTCTTATATCACGCTGCATAATGTAATTACAATATTCCAGCACATCCTTTTCCAGAACCTAGTGCATCCGCAAAATTAATTCAGCGCCTAAGTATGTGTTAACTTGTCTACGTGTGAGTGGTACCGGGTATCACTCGCTGATTCTACGGCTGCGAAGAAATTTGGCTTGTTTTAAGAGCATAACGAAGCGAGGCTCGTTATATCGTGGACTTGAGGCATTCGACATGTTTGCAGGATGAAATAGAGGTGTAAATTAGTTCACTGCTTATTGCCTGTGAGCAGGCAGGGCCTTTTGGATCAACAATCACAAGTTAACGGAAATACTTCAAGTTATGGGCGCGTCGAAGTGTAGAAAACATGTTTACTGATATTTCGCTAGTAGTTAGGATATCACGGACTCTACTGTCACGAAGGGAATCCAGTTTCGGAATGGAAGTGTGCAGGAGACATGACAGAAGGCGTGCTTAAAAAATCATTTACTGAATTATATTTCATGAGTAATTAATATAGAGGATAATGAATAGTTGCGTCGTGTCGCCTACCAATGGAGAGTCAGTGAAGAAGGAAGACGACTATCTCGAGTGTCCCTTTCCTGGGTTTCCCGTGAACGACTTGGATCTCCATTCGTTAGAAATGGCTGTCTGTGAGTGATTTATTAAACTTGTGCAGTCGCCGCCGACAACAGCACTCCAAACGAGCTTCTTTTCTCAACCAATTAGAGTTATGTTTGTACAAATAAACCGTTCCTTGCCAACTCACCAACTGTCACACACTGACACGAAGCCAACCCCATCACTACACCCACCAAACCCACTAACAAGCCCACACATCCACACAACTCACTCGTATTGCTTATCCATCCGCAGCAACTCCTCTCCTATCGCGCGCGATACCTGCGCATACACTTCTTACTTCGCCTTCTCCACTTCCTCCGGAATCCCCGACACCGTATCCAACAACTTCTTTATTATCTCCACCAGGTCCTGCAAGGCATTTCATTCACTACCAATCTGCTTCTTCCTATTCACTTCCTACCCAAACTCAACTACACATATCTGATTTGTGCGATCACCTCCACACACACGCCACACTCCAACACACTACACCAGAACCCTCTTTCACTCACTCGTTCATTGCCTAGCATGCAGACGGCCAATCATCTCACTTTAAGGAAAGAAGACACGACACCTGTTCACAATTCAAACGCAAGCACGGATGAGTAAAAAACATCGCCCGCGACCAAGTACATGACTCAAACCCACGTATCCTGTTTAAAATTGGCGTAAATACAAAAGATTTTCATCCCTGCACTTCGTGAAAACGCACACTCACAAACCCACACACACCCAGACAGAGCACATACAGCTATTTCCAACGAATCAGTGACCATTACGTACACGAGAAACCAAGGCAACAGCACTCGCGATATTCATTTACTTTCTCACTAAATGTTCACTGGTAGGCGTCAAGTAACCACTATCCACTTTTCTCTAAACTAGTTACTCATGAAATACAATTCAGTAAATGTTTTTTCAAGAACACCTGCTGCCATGTCTCCTGCACACTTCCATTCAGAAGCTGGATTCCCTTCCCGACACTGTAGTCCGTGATACCCTCACTACTAACAAAATATCAGTAAACATGTTTTCTAAACCTCGACACTCGCCCATAACTTGAAGTATTTCCGTTAACTTGTGGTTGTTGATCCAACAAGCCCTGCCTGCTCACAGGCAATAAGCAGTAACCTAATTTAAACCTTGATACCATCCTCCAAGCATGTCGAATGCCTCAAGTCCACGATATAACGAGAATCGCTTCGTTATGCTCTTAAAACACGCCAAATTTCTTCGCAGCCGTAGAATCAGCGAGTGATACCTGGTACCACTCACACCTAGACAAGTTAACACCTACTCAGGCGCTATTCCAAGTCTCTCTTCCCACCCCTCCCCTCCCCCGACAAACCCCTCTATAACCCCACTTTCTATCATATAGCCATGGTGATGATGACGACGACGACTGCACGAGTTTAATAAATCACCCAATCAAATTAAGGTGCGCTAGTAATACTCTACCCATCGTTCCCGTGGGAATTACAGTAAGGTAAATCTAGCTAATTGTCGTTCCAAGTCAAGTCGAGTCATTCCAGAAATAACTTAAAATGAGGTAATTCCTATTGCGATTGAAAGCCCATTCATAATATGTGATCGTCCATCAATCTAAATTAAATTAGCTTTAAACTCATCATTCACGACAATTATTAAGAAAATCTTTTTTCGAGCGCGCCTGCTGTCATGTCTTGTGCACACTTCCATTCAGAGGCTGCATTCCCTTCGCGACAGTGGAGTCTGTGACATCCTTGCTACTAGCAGAATATCAGTAGACATGTTTTTACACATCGACACCCAATCCATAACTTCCAGCATTTCCGTTAATTTGCCGTTGTTGATCTAAAACAGGCAATAAGCAGTAACCTAATTTAAACCTTGATACCATCCTTCAAGCATGTCGAATGTCTAAAGTCCACGATCTAACGAGCCGCGCTTCGTTATGCTGTTAAAAATGCCAAATGTTTCTGCAGCCGCAAAATCAGTAAGTGATGCCCGGTACTACTCACACCTAGACATGTTAACACCTAATCCAGCCCTCTTCCAAGTCGCTTATTTCTCCTGCTGATCTTTTGCTTTTCTTGCTGTGTGAAGCTGAAAAAATCTTTTTGCAAGATTATGTCAATTTAAGACTTTCCTCCAATCTAGAGGCTTCCAAAATATTCTTCCGTATCTCGCGGACCTGCTTGCAAATCACATTGCAATACCAGTTTTTTCTTTCGAGTCGCCGAAGTTGAAACGATCAATCACACTTTCTAATATTTCCATTGATTTGAGTCACCTAGTGGCTAATGACTTTGGCTACTTCTTTCATCACTGGCAATCTGTAAACAATCTTTCAGGCGCTATTCCAAGTCCCTGATTACTCGATCTTTGCTGCTTATCAAGCCATCTTACAAATAAATGCCTTCACCTAGATAAGTGTTTGCTATTTGCTTCTAACGTCGTCGATTCCTCGCACTGATAATACCACTTGCTCAGCCGCAGCCGCTGCACCCCCACCCCAACCCACCCACCCAGCCTGGTAGCCAGACCACCAAGCCCAATACACAACCCCCCTTGGGATGAGTTGTGTCCGCCACTTCGATCGTCGCGGTCACCTCTTTCCCACAATCAGCCAGTCTCCAACTCACCACAAATGCAGGTCATGTAAACAATTTTAGGTATTTTTGCTGCAAACTTTCTCAAGTTCAACCCATTTTGCTTAATTAACTATTAAGCCACTACTTTTCAGCGCCTTTTTTGACTTATTTTAGCACCTATTCAAATGCGCTTTGATTCCAACTGGAGCAAGTTTTGTTCGCCAGCAAAGTAAGTGCACTCTAGGCACACTATTTGCCAATTTAGAGCCCTTAGCCCTTGGTCGTCCACTTCAAGTCGATCCAACCTGCCACATTGGTCGTCAATGCCTCCACATTCTCCACCACCACCACCACCAGCTTACCGGTTCAATGCCAGTCTCGTTTGGGCCCTCCCCCTTAGCATTTACTTCAACTGTGAAGGGCACTCGAGAATGCATAAATACGTCCGTTTGATCAACCCACGACAAGTGAATTTTGGTTCCGTCTAATTCCGTTCCTTCGGCACTCCCTTATCTTCCTACCAATCGAAAATCGGGCGTTTAACTTTCATGTAGGAAATGACAACCCCCTTGCTCTGTGTCAACCCCAACCACCACTACCACCACTTCTCATGCTCCCCTAACTTAGTGTTGCTGTAAATGACCGTCAATTACTCGATTCTTTTAACTGATGCTGGAGTGGACAGTAGAGAAAGATGAGTAGGTTATAAATGCACTACCTTATACATACATTACTGACTTCTTCGGCAACAACCAATTCACATGTTCACACCATCTTCTTCACCTTATGCTGTTTATGCGCTGTTAGGATCAACTGCGGAGATGGTTTCTGCTCCAGAAAAAACATATATAATATACATATATGCGAAAAGAAGTTAAGTAAAGACATTTACGGCATGGTGACGGGATAGAATCAACACTGTGCCCACTATTAACTTGATTTTGAGATATGCAAGCATATTGAAATTAAATCTCAATGTTTCTTAACGGCTAAACCTCTCCACTACACCAGGTCCAATTTAGACAGTGCAGTAAAGTATTATTAGAGGCGCCAGGTATCCGCCTGATAAAAACGCTGTTTCCGGACATTAAACACAGAAATGATAAAATCTGTGCTACTTATTTTATAGGTAGTAGCAATAATAATATACAAATTTTATACAAATTTAACGAAGGTTGTACGATGGGGTGATTTATCAAATGGGTTTTAGAAGACATAAGGGAGTGTTTTATCGGTTTCTTGACATTTCATACCACAAACGGAGCTCGGAAGCAATTATAGGACTAAAACGTTTGTTATCAGTCAAATCACCTAGAGAATGAATGCCGTCCATCACAACCAAACATACAAAGTGCAATCATTGCCCACCATACTAATTCTCACAAGTCTCTTGGACCAGTGTCACGTGGTCCCGAATTCCACGTAGTGCACTCTTTTGAAGGAGACAAACAATGGACCCAACAAGGAATTTAAATCGACCCAATTTCGCATTACAGGAACCAGTGATTAGTGCTAATCACTTGTATGATGATTCTAGTGACAGTACACTTTTACCACCATGCTTTCACGCGGAACTATTAGAAAAACAAGGACTTTTGGCAGTTAACACGACTAATGCTGATTAATTTCTGGAAATTCCGAGTTACTCAAAGCAGCTCAGACATTCCGACATTTCACTTGGCATGTGCTGGCTGAATCAGATTGGGTGAATTCATCCATCAACAATGCTCTCATTTTTAGCATGAATTAGGAAATGCATCAAATGAGGCGCTTCCGAATTTGAGTATGGAAAAACCACTTGGTCTACATCGCACTGAAGGAAAAGTGAAAATGTAGTAAATTTTCATCGACCGATTCGGACTAGTAACATAGACCCTTCAAAGGTGCGATAAATTCCTGTCAACGCAACCCTCAAGCACCCAGCCGTGACAAAAACGATTTTGTTAAAGGCTGTCGCAATAATTTACTAACGATCGGACGCCTCTCCGTTTCTGTGTGGTCCAAATCGAAATTTAGCCTAGGAGCCAAATCTCCACAAAGTTGAGGCAATTTAGTTGAGCAAATTGACAACTGACAACTATACGCAGATAACTAATGGTGATCAAGTTACCTATTATTCACAAATTTGTCTGTATTTGGGTATTCGTTGTATCCAGAAGTCGGAGAGT